CTAAAAAAGTATTCGTAAGTCCGTAAGATATTTATTTGCAATATGGTCCAAGATATCCGTGTTTTTTCAGCCGTCGAGTGGTGGGAAGCTCCAGCCCGAAATCGTTTTGGCGGAATTGGGGCACCAGGCGCAGCAGGGCATGTCCTCGCATTTCTCGCCCAGACAGCAACGGCAGCAGCTGTCCGCAGATCCTGCAAACAGGCAGAGGAGCATCGCCAGGAGCAGCAGGAGCGAAGGCAGCCACGACGGAGTCGGATGCGGATGCAGATGCAGAGACTGCGGGCGGCGGTGTGTCATCGTCGGACAAGCAAACCAGATTGACAGCCGGCCAGCAGGTGGGGCTGGTGGGGCTGGCGCTGAACTGAACGCGCCGCGGCATTAGGCAATTTTCCACGGCAGCCGGCGACGGCAATCCATCATCGCGCACTGGCACGGCAAACAATGTCATTAGCTGCACTTGATCCGGAGCACACGAAAATAGCAGCACCAGCACACATGTGTTCAGCACACGTGCCAGGACCTGCCCACACCGGCCGCAATTAAGATAATGCAGAGTCAACAAGACAGGACCCTTTAGACGGCAGCCAAAACGGAACACTCGCAGAAAATTCACACCATTAAGGTCAGTTTTCTCGTCCTTAATGCAAGGTGACTTTTACCTGGTACAAGGATATATTGATCGATTTTCGTTTTCTCGTCCGCACTTTAAGACCACATAATAAAGACATTTCTATTTGTACCACCTGCAAAAAATTGAAAAATTTTTAAAAATAGGTCTCCTGTTAAAAAGTTGAATTTAAAAACTGTACCTTGGATAACCAAATTTTGTCCGCCTGGTAAGTTTAATTACGAATAAGAAACTGTTTCTCGATATATATTAATAAATATTCTACACTTATATGAACTGTAATGACAAAGATTAAATAAAAAAAAAGATTAAAAGATTAAAATACCTATGGATGTATTTTTAAAGAATCTGTATTTTTCAATCCACAAAAAAGTAAATAAATTTCTATTGGATTTTTACATTGTGTTTTATTTTTATGTACTGAAAAAATAATATGATTGTCTTTAAAAACTCAACAGAAATAATTTAAGTGTACGAAACCAAATGCAAATGTCGTTGAACTGTCGCTGATTCATGGCTTCAACAAGTTTATTGGCAACGTGGCGTATGATTAATGTGCCTCCTAATTGCCGACTGAGACAAAGTGAAGTGCCAGCGATCTTTTCAAAGCATGTGTTCGTACCACTCAGACAATGCTCAACCTTAAGCCACGAAAAGCGTTTATTTTTAAACAGCAGGATAAAAACAAAACACCTTACATGTGTAACATGTTTTTTTACCATTTAAAAGCATGTTCCTGACTTAACTAACTATTTCTGTTTTAAATTGTGGCTATTTAAACAAATGGGCAAAAAATATTGATTGTTGAAAGCTTTAGTCAATTTGAATTGATTTTTCTTTAGGATTATCCATGGATGGAGTTGAGATGCTTGTGGTCCCTTTCACTCAGGAAACACAATCACAAAAGGGGTGGAATGGTAGGTTGGGACTGAGGAACAACGACAGAACTTCGATTTGCACCGACAAGCGAATGCAAACAAACAAGCAATAAGGTACGGGAGAAATTGTCGCTTTAACTTAGTTTATAATGCCACTTGAATGAGTTTGCTTGGCTCAAATGCGAAAACGAATGCAAAACTTGAGAGGGTTGCTACCGAAGTTTTTTTCCAACAACCCAAAACAAATTTTAGTCTTGGTATAACAACAGCAAAAATATGAGATTGAATTGACATCACCAAACTATTAATTTTGAGAATTATTTTACAAATACTTACCATTTTTTACCATTTAAATAGAAATACAAAAATCGAAAATTCTCTTATTCGCCAAATTTTAAGGGGATAGAGCATTTCGGTTTGCTTATTTTCGAACTAATTTGTAATTTATTATAAGCGAAATATATTTAAGTTATCAGTGCAATCTGGTAAGCAATAAGACCCACCTAATATCCCACATATCAATAACTTCCCCCTGAACTCCGGGAATATCCTTTCATTTATGCACCCACACAAACAGTCCTTTCAGTGCAGAGCATGCAACGAAATAATACGACGACCAGGAGCTGAAGACAGATGTATGCACTATATGCCAGAGCAACCGGAGCAGGGATTTCAAGTGGCTTAGTAGGGAACAGTCTGTTGGCGTTAAAAGAGTCGTAGAACCGAACCAAATGCAAATACCAGGCGACACGTGAGCCGCACCCCCTTCTCCGCCCCTTTGGCATGCAATTTGCCATTTATTCAATTTAAATATTCACACCATTGTGAAAAGTGAGCTCGCGAGGGCTTCATACGAGTATGTGTACAGAAATATCTGAGATGGAATATCCGAGCTAGACACCGCTGATGGCATAATAAGCCAAGGCAGAGGACAATGCACAGAAAAACAAAAAAAAAAATTCGAGTAAAATGGAACAAAAGTCAACATATGGGAAAATAAAATAAATATTTTTAATATTATGTAAATAGCACAGCGCCATGAAATTCAATTATATTTAATTTGTATGCAAAGAGCGAAGAGAATAGGAAAAGTGTTTTCATATATGCCATGCAATTACACTAGTTTACAAAGTTAAATCGACAAAGTGCATAAAATTGACCAAAAAATCATAATTCTGAAGTAAAATTTTAAGAAACATTTGTTTATAACAACAATAAAAAAGTTTTAAAAATGATACTGGCATTGATCGATCATTCAGTCTAAGGTATTCAAAGTTCGGCTGCGTTAGCTGAATCATTTTCAGGTCACATAGCAATTACTTAGCTTGTCAATTGCAATTATGAATATTCTTCTTTATTTACATTTGGCCTTTCGTATTTATTTATAATAAATATCGAACAAAGGCCCAATGTTTTAATCCACCAAAGCGTTGCAGCATAAATTCCTGATGGAATTAATCATTTTTGTTGTCGCTGTTGTTTGACTTTGGCGCGTACATGATAATGCCAACTAAATTTAATATTAATTCAATATAAATTCATTATAAGATTAATTTATATTATTTTCATTGTTAATCGATGCACAGCAGCGTGCAAATGCGCTTAATGAGCTTTAAAAAGAGAAAATAAATTAAAACAAAATGCGAACTCTCGCTTCAGCAAGCGTAAAATGCATAAAGTTTATGAACACCAACAAATGGCATTGCGCTCCAGCAGGGATTGACCAAGTTTTTGGTGGCTAATAAAGTACGTACACCCGGCCACTTATAGAAGTCGATGCCTTGGCTCTACTTTGTTTGCTTTCTTAATTAAAAATTGCATTTAAGCAGCAAACAATGAAAGACGGGTCTGGGCAAGCTAATGAAATGGAAAATGCAAGGCAAAAAATAATTACCCATGCATATCTGCCAAATGCAAATTGCTAAGTTTGTTTTGAGATGGCGGAAAAGAGAGTTTGAAGATGGCAAAACAAAGAATAAAACAAAATATAACTTTCAGGAAGCTTTTAAAAAAACCCCAAAGTGGGGAAATCAGGACGGAAGGATTTAAAGTTTTTCCTATATTGAATAACTTTTAAAGTATTTTATTCTCTGGTTATTTGTTTATAAGGCTTCCCCATAACTTTACAATAAAGTAAATTAAGTATTTGCTAAAGACATTACTTTAAGTATCGCTTTATTCATTCAACCAACTTTGCTATATTCCGATCAATTAAGTTGTGTTTTAACGGAAATGCATTTCCCTAAAAAGGATCAAAGGCACATTACTTTGGTAGTAATGACACTTCTCTTTCGTCTAGAACTTTTATTACAACAAAAGGTGTGACCATAATAAAGCAGAAATATTTATGTTTTTTTTGCGCATTAGTGTGCATTAATTTTATTAAAACTAAACAACAATGGGAGTGCTAGCCCGGAGCACTGACCTCATTTGTCTGGCCGGGGAATTGGAGTCGAAATGGAGAGTCACCGGGGGCGGAGCCGAGAAGGGGCGTGGCAGCTCCTGTCGCTTCACTTGATGGAAGTCCTCTGTTGATTTGCGACGCCTTTTACTTTTCGCTTTATGCGCTCCTCCCATTTGTTTGCATTTGCGTTGACACTCACTTCATTTAGCAGCCCACAGCAGCAGCAGCAGTTGCAACTGCACAAAGGCAACAGCAGCAGCAACTCCTGCAACACCAGCAACAACAGCAACAGCAACATCAGCTGCGAGTGATGTACGTGAGTGCAAGTGCAATCCGCCGGCGGCTGCAGGTTAAGGACCTTCTTTTGAACTTTAAAATGTTTGCTTTTGGACATGTGGGCGGCAGTGTGAGCGAGCTAAGTCGACTGTATGATACCCTGCCCAGTCACCAATAATAATATTCAATAATTATTTCTTTATTGTGTAACCTTAGCTTTGATATAAAATGTTTAAAACATGCATTTGAATTGAGTATCCAATGAAAAAAGGCAGTGTTATAATATCACCATAAAAATCAAACAAAATATTTAATTCAAAAGTATTTAATATTTTTAAAGGAATCCCGAATGGAAAGTCAAAAGAACTATTGATTCATGAGCAATTTCTAAAAGGTCTAAAGAGCCCTTGTAACATCCAACAGGTAGGGTATCTGCAGAGTCGTCTATACTCCTCGCTTATTACTTATATATTTACTTTGCCACCCTTTTCCGCTCAGACAAACCCGCACCCCCTTTAACCTTCTCATACCCTCTCATCTCTATTTGTGTTTGTGTTTGCTTTGTGGTTTCGCCATCACATCCAGTCCCCGGGTCGGTTTTTAATCTTAAGCGCCTTCCACTCGCCACAATTGTCCAGGCCAACTGTCCCTCTTGGTTCTTGGCTCCAGCCAGCTGAGCAAATATATATAACCGTTTTACCCTTTGCCACAGTTCCACCTGGCGACTTATGGCCGGCTTATGTGCTCGCAAACCAATTAAAATGGCCAACGGAATTGTAAGACCCCCGACACGAAGGCAATGGCAGCAAATTAATTTCAAAGGATTACGACTGGGCCTGGAATTGTATTTAGTTGATTTTCGTTTCGATATTCGGTCATGGTATTGAAATCAAGGCCCCCATTTAATGCCTCTATTTGTGCTATTTTTAAATTTCTTGAAATATCCGGTCGTGTTTCTCTGATGTTTGGTGTTATTCAGCGCCAGCAACTACCCGTATTTTGTCTTGTATTTTGAGGTTTAATTGTAAGTTCCCCTTCTTCTGGGTGGTGGGCGTTCATTGGTTTTCTCTCGTGTAGCATTTCCCAGGACCCCAGCTGCTGCCTCGAAACGTTGGCGGCGGTGTATCTCCACACTCTGATCCGGATTCAAGTCCCTGAACAAAATTTCGTCAAAACCTTCGTCGTCTGCTTCTTCTAGAAGGTTTCTCCAGATCAACGCTTTTAACCGCTGAAGACGTTCAACTTTGGAAAGAAGAACAGCAATTAAAATTAAAAGTCCAATGATCAATCCATACAAAAACAAATTCGAGCTTTTAAAAGCGGAAGGTTTATCCATTATTCCGATTGTTAAGAAAAATTGTTGTAAGAAAAATTGTCGTAAATAATATGATGACTCGTTTCGATTGGTTGCTTTAAATGTACTGAGAAGTGTTAACATGTGTAAGCCGTATACTAAAAAAGCACCGCTTGCTTTATTAATACTTTAAGCAACGAAATATTTAAAAACCTTAAGTTTTTTAAAAGTAGCCGTTATTATAATTTAATATATTTAAAAATGAAAAAGACTTATAAAAATGCTTCGATTTTTTTAAACTTTCATTGGAAATTTTTTAAAATGTATCCACAACGGAAACTAACTTCGAAAAGCCAAAGTTTTAATAGCGTTGCAGAATCCAAAATAAAAATAACTTTCGCCTGTCAGCCTATTAAATTCAAGGACAAATAAAGGACCTGCTAGAAGAATTTGACATTTCACAGGTAAGTTTGATTCAACGAAAGCAATCAGTTGCTTGTGTGCCTTGCATCAAAAATTTACAAAATTAAGATTTGAAAAGTTGCTAGTAATCGGCATATAGCCGTATCGTATGACAGATATATTGGAGCTATAGGATATATTCAAACGATTTACATCAAATCTCAAGAGCAAAACTCGCGACTTATACTCACATTAAAAAGAAAACAGCTAAATTTAACATTTTCACCTGATTGTTCCTATGGAGTTACACGATATAGACATCCGACCTTTTCCTTTTTCAAACTTGTTTCAAATCTTTGGCTTATTAACTGAGCGCGGAACTGATATATATCTTTTATGGGGTCGGAAATGTTTCCTTCACTGAGTTACAAACTCCTACCAATTTTATAATAATTTGTTTATTTTCTTTTAACTTAAGTTTGTTTTATTTAAATATAAATTAACTGGGAAGTCAAACGAAATTATATATAATTCTTGTTCATATGAAGAAAACAATTCGATTAATAATGGCTATTAGTTCCTGTAAAGCCAAGCATTGAAATAAAACTTTTACTTGATTAATATGTTTTTGTGAAAGCGAAATCTGCAAAATTAGTCGTACGTGAGTGCTAAAATTGTGATTTTAAGGAATTGAAACAAAGTCAAAGGACACCAGAGTGTGCACTGTTCACTTTCTGGGAGGACAGCACTCAGGGACTCGGAGTTTTGCCCGAGAATGGGCCTGAGTCTGGGCAAAAGCCTGAGCCTGAGCCTGAGCCTGACCGGCACTCGAGGGTTCAAGGAGGCTCTTAACCCGCTGCTTGAGGCTGTGGCCAAATCCACACCACGGGGCGAGGGAGTGGCATGAAAATAAATTAAAAATGTGTTAGACTCGCACCCACACACACACATAAGGCAACTTGGACACTTATCCAGGCGGCCGCATACACAGACATATTAAGGAACGTGACTTGGCTGTCCTGGGAGAAGCACACACTTGCAGTGCCGTATAAATTTAGCATGTTATGAAATATGTATACACTGACTGAAGGCACTGCCTTTGTCCGCCCGGCACGTAGCCGGCCACGCCCAGTCTCCTCCGCCGCCGCCCCCCCGCTTTTAATGACAAAAGTTATGACGACAAATGACTCGGTTGACTTTCACTACGAAATCAGAGCCGCAGCTCCACAATGGGACCATGAATCATTTCCCGCTGACTTGACTCCGCTTTCTGAATTCACTTTTGCCATTTTGCCGCCTTGATTTGTAGTCGCTGTTAAAAGCGCTCTTCATTAATCATTATGCAAATTATAAATTACATTTTAACGAAAAGCAGATAATAATGTAAATGTTTCAATGCCCCACAGATAATTATGCAAGTCTTGCTGCATCGGCGAAAAATTCACGCTCCACCGCAGCCGCCGTCGGCATGCAAATTGAATTTGTTAATCAACTGCATTTAGGCTTAATTGAAAGTGCGGATAGAAGCGATAAAAAACATGCATAACTTTAATATTAAATTTAAAATATAGAAGCTGTGTGCAAATTGTGCACGTGACTCGGGGGACTTGCCACAGTCAACCAACGCAATTATAAAGTAGTTTTGGGTTTCGAACATATTTTAGTAAATTGTATATATTTGTCGTGATCAAATTAGCAGGAGCTGAACTATTTCCTTTCCGACCTCAATAATTGTAAATACCTAATTAGACCTGGCCTTGGGTTGAATTGACTAAGTCAAATAATATATATTGGGCAAACTAAATTCAATCCGGGGCACTTCACACTGGTTATTAAATGCAGCCAACTAATTTCGAGCTGCAGGCGAATAACACACTTCCTTTGAGCCTGTCAAATAAACATGAATGGAAAATTACATTACGGATAGTATTGCGTCATTTGCCTCGCATTAATGGCATCGCATCAAATTTGAGTTGATAATTATGGCAATAGTAAATCAGCCCTAGGCTGCAGTCAGTGTCACAAGCTTCCTCGAATATTTGCTTTTATTAGTGGGCCCTCTCCCAAGTATCCACTTTCAAAAACGGTGAACATTATTCACTGTGTTGTATCCTTGCCTCGGGCGACCGTGTGCCACGAAATGCTTTAAATCAATTCTAATACGCATACGCAGTGTGGGCCCGGCACAAAAAGACATGTGCACTAAAGTCGAATGTTAAAGTACACCTTTGAAGTTTCCCCGCATGAGCGATAGTGTGTGTATTCCAGCTAATATCTGCACTGCGACATTCTGAAGTGTGTTTAGCTACAGAGTGAGTGTACCTGTGTTGAATTAATCCTTTCTAGAGCAGCAATTAATTAGCATGCCTTTGTCTCCTCGTCTTCTCTACTACACGGCTTATTGGTTTTTCCCATTCAGGGGCACTTGCATTTTCCCTGAATAGAATCGCTTTATATATAAATAAATGCTCAAAATGAATATTTTTATTCATTTTATTAATTTTATTTAAGATGCCCTAATGGCTTTGGTGGCCCATAACCCTTCTTCAAAATCGTAGAAAAGTAATTGAGGTTCTGCCGCAACTTTCAAACTAATTCGTTCGTTTCCCGCTTTTATCTGTGTTCAAATTACTTTGGAAATATTTCTAAAGAAAACCGCCGCCTACATATTTCCACCTTTTTTAATATTTTATGCTCTTTATAGGCGCAATGTGGGCTGCATCTGATGGCGTTGCCACTTTTGCCTTTGTGCAATTGCTTTTTGCGGATATTGTTGTTAGTTTTACTTTTGAGATCCGTGTTGGTTTTTCGCTGTTTGTTTTTTGTTGTTCCAGCATTGTGCGATGGCGCTTTTGTTTTACACGGCCTGCACTGAGACTGTGGTTTTTGTAGTTGTCGGCTGCTCCGGCTGCCGTGTCCTATTTGTATCCTGTTGGCACACAGATACTCACATATACTTACGTTCGCTCGCATTTATGTCTATTGGCGCGCGTCCATTTCCATTTCATTTCCGTTATTGCAAAACTTTTCGTATTAAATATATTTTTCTCCCAGCGTTTTGTTTCATTCCGAAGCCCTTTGCCGTCGCTGTTGTTGTTGCTGTCGCTTTTTGCACTCTGGCAAAGTTGTTTGTTGCTGGTATTTCTGGTACTTTATGCGCCGTGGCCATTATTGCAGTTGTTTCCTTTATTGTACAAGTACAAGCATAAAAATCCCCGTATTTCCATATAAATATTTTGTGCACTTGCCTCGCCTCCGCCTCATTTATTGTGGCCTACTTACGGACGAGTGTGCTCGGGCCACCGGCTTACAAATTGACATGCAATTAAATGTAAGCCGCAGGCATTTATTATAATTGTTACAGCCTTCACGGCCCGCTCCTCCGCTTTTCCGGGCCCGCAACTCCGCAATTCCGCCCCTGGCCAAAAACTGACGCTGATTAGGCGGCCACCGGCAACCAACTAACATTGTTGTTGTCGTCCTCCGGCAGCTGCAATTAGCATTCTGCGCTGTAATAAATAAAGTAAAATTAACCACAATACCCCAAACAGAACGCTCGACCAAATTGTCCCCATTAATTTAGTTTTCAAACAAAAGCTTGGCTACTATTTTTGGTGGGCTTTAATTTGGATTTTTAAACTGCTAATTTTGTTTAGAAGTAACTTCTTATATTTTAAGATTAATATTTTTTTTCGGTTTCATTACTAAATGAATAGTTTCTAAACCTTTTCATTCTAATGCATATTGCATTGTTTTTGTTGTTTACAATCTACATAGTGCCAACCAATAATTTCCAAGCAAAAGTTAGTTTGCCTTATTTTGAATTTGGTAAACTGCTTTTTTTGTCTATGCTAATTATTTTTAATTAGTCACGTTTTCGGTTTCAATTCTGAAACAGAATAGTTTCTAGCCGTTTCTATTTCGATGCATATCATACCCATTGCAATGTTTTTTATTATTAACAATTCAGATATTTTGCTCAGTTATCTAGATGTTGTTTTATTTTAATTGATCAGGAATGCAAATATGTTTTTAATTCACAGTGGCGTATACTTAATGAGTTTGACCTGTTCTTTTAATACTTTATTTTCGATATTATTTTGCAAAATTATGCGCACTTTTTGCATATTTTATGGGCCAAAGCATTTAGTACGCACAAGTGACCGCAAATTTTTAGCGCATTTGAATTAATGACACCGAATATCATGAAAAAATGCCTAACCACAAATCAGTTTAGTTTTCTCTTTCCTGCATTTTCACTTCCACAGTTTGAAAAAGTAATGATTGGAAAGACTACTAATTTTCGTTATTTATTTTTCTCCCTGAATTAAGAGCAAGCAATTGTCATCAACCTTTGGCAAAGGACATTTCCGATAAGTCGGTATTTTCCTAGGATAGCACAGCATCGCTGAACCAGAAGGTCATACGATCTCCATTGGACAGCTTTTGGGGCACGGCGATCGAGTGATTCCGAGCCACCGAGTTGTAGCGCCTGAAGTTTTCATTGCCGGCATTTAAGCGTCCTGCCATCTCGGCAGCCTGCTGGTTCAAGGATTGCCTGTAGGACAAGGCCGTTTCCGACTGAATATAGCTGGGTCCATCCTTCGATTCAGGGAGAACACTTGACATGTTGGTTTTCGGTTTCATTTGAGTGATCGAAGGGACATCCTTGGCATTTTTTGAGCTAAGATCAGAAGGATTTGGTTCATCCTTTTGGAAATCTTGCATTCCTGCCACGGAAAGTTTTGCCGAGGATCTTTTTGAGCCGGAGTCTGACTTTTGCGACTTTAGAGATCGTTCAGAGGCTGTGTTGATGGGGATTGTTTCCGAGGGCTTTTGCGATACCCTTGATTTAATTTTGGCTGGTTCCAAGGGCTTTGGAGACTTCAAAATTGACTTGGGAGGGAGTTTGGTATTGGAAGAACTACTATTAGTAACCGTAGATCCTGATTGGGAAATTTTAGAGGCCTTTGTGGAGATGCTGGCCATACTTGGTGTGGTGGCGCTGTTATTGGAAGCCACACTTAAGTCTGAAGAGGATATATTGGCATCACCACTTGCCTGACGACATGACCTTACTGGCATTAAGGTGCGAAGCGACTCCTTTGCAACCGCTTCCTTTGACTGCGAGTCCTGTGAAAGCTTCACCTTGGAGACGCCGCCCGCACCAATGCGATCTTTTTCATGAATGGCGGAGGCCTGCATCTTGGCCACAGCCATCTCCTCATTGATGGCCTTGGAAATGGCCACCTCACCCCGCTTTGACTTGCCCAACTTCAGTTTGCTGTCCCGGGCAAGCGAGTCCTTGGAGGGAGATCCTATAGCCTTCTGCGAATATTCCGACTTGGCTACGAAAACCGGTGGCGGATACGTAACGCAGGTGGGGATTTTGAACTCCGAGCGGGCTCCGCTGTTGGGTGGACCCACATTGAACGGATTGAAGGGTTCAACGTCGAAGTCATCGGGAAACATGTTTTTCAGTGATGATGGCATTGCCTATGGGACATATGGCTTTTACCAAGTTTAATATTCAAAGAATTAACGATCACTCACTTCATAGGGGTTTAATTTTAAAAGCTAAGGGCCTGGATATGGTACTTTCCGGTCTGGTTTTTGTTTGATTTTAATTGGCTCTTGATTCTAAAACATAAAGAGCAAACTGACACAAAAATCAGTTAAAACTGGACATAAAATAGACAAATTTATATGGGGATAAGATAAGGAAAGTTTGACCGCGCATAAAATAAGACTTCAAACCTCAATTTATCTATGTAAGAATTACTTTTGCTTTGCGTGTTTTATAATTTATCAAATATGTTTTCTCAGGTAAGTACAGTTTTTAATTGTGTTTCACATAATTGGAGAGCCATGGTTATCTTTTGTCTTTAAAAGTAATCTTTTTCACCTTTTGTGTCTATCTTTTTCCTGCACTCTGACAGTCTGGGCTGCCTACTTCAAGTTCTCCTCTTGGCTTAATTAAAAATGCCTTCTGCTTTTTCTTGGCCCCTACTCTGTGTATCAATTCAGAGTGTACGTGCTGATAAGGTGTGCAATCCTTTGGATGTTTCATTTATAAAACAAAAGCATGTTGAAAAGAGCTGTGGCTTAGAAGTACAATGTGACAAATTAATGAGCACTTGAAAAAGTTAACTAGAGAGCAGCTCAGAATTTGCTGTCAAGATCTTTTCCGACTCTTCCCAGTCTTTCGATCATCTTTTCGGTGTCCGGGTCTTGAAATTTGATAATCGAAATTTTAGTTATAGCAACAGTTTTAGCCACAGTTTCAGCATGTCTAGTCTGCAGAAGCCATCGCAGGGCGGTCCACAGAGAGGCATGGTCTCCTACGGCAGCGGGCTCGTCTTCGGCGGCCACGTGTATCCTGTGCTGGTGGACGGGGTGCCCATGCAGCCGCCCGTGGCGGTGCAGCAGCGCCTGCAGATGCAGCAGCGACAGATGCAGCAACAGCAGATGCAGCAGCAACAGCAGATCCAGCAGCGACAGATCCAGTTCCAGCCGCAGTGCCACAAGCCGATTGTGCCCCATCCCCAAAGGTCATGTCCGCGGAGTGGCGCCCCAGCGGGGACGTACATGGTGAAACTGGGGCAGCAAGGACTGCCTTGTTGTCCTGGTCCTGTCTCAACGCAACAGCTGCAACAGCAGCAACAGCAGCAACAACAGCAGCCGCAGTACCACAACCTCGCCATGATGCAACAGCTCCATGGGCAGCTTCTCCAGCACCGGCAAATGCAGGCGGCCATGGGCAATCCCTTCAGCCACTACGGCCAATACAACGTACAACTGCAACCGAATGCGGGCGGCGATTCAGGCGGCTGGAACGGGTATGCCATGATGCAGCCATCGGATGTCTATAAGCCGTATTCGTTGAACTGAGTCCTTTCCCCATGTTACTGTACAAGTATGAGAAATGAAGTTAAATGTAATGTTTTACCGCTTTTTGGATTTGCTCCAATCAAAGTATGGTAATGTTTAACCAAAAAAAATGATTAAATTAAATGTGACGTTTTGGATTGGCTCTAATCAAAGTATAGTTTAAGCAAATCAAGCTTGGAAATTCTCCGATCTGCCCTGCAATCACTTGGCAACACTCAGCTCCCTTGGGGACTTTTTTCCTCAGCGAACATGACCATAATTTGCAGTAGCTCGTCTGGGTTCCTTTTTTGCACTTCATCGAGCTGTGAGGTTGCCTTTTAGTGGCGGGGATCCACCTCGTTTCGGGGTTGGTCGTCATTTAGTGGTAAATTTCCGTCTTAGTTGCCAACGAGCATCAGACGTGACATTTTGCAAATTCCGTTTTCAGCATTTTGTAATCGTTCCAGCATACGTGTGCCACTAAGGGGGATTCCCCGCACCACCTCCTTTGCTCCTGCTGGTGACACTCACTCAGGTTGTTCGTGGTGCGGAATCCACTACCGGAGGAGGGCAGGAGGGGAGGGGCATGTGTGGCCAAGGGGTTGCAACTGGTTTGGTAGTGGCTTCCGATTTTTTCACTGGCTTTTACCAGCTCTCATGATGATACCCTACGAGGAAGCGGTGCAATGATTATTAAAGGTCATTCAAATATGCAGACGAAACGGGTAAACAAGTTATTGTGGGGGGAAAATTAAAACAGTTTTCCAAATTAAGTTTAACTTTTATTTTCTTTGATTGAACATTTCCGTTCGTTCGGGAATTTATATTATTTTCATTTCTTTCAAAGCATTCAGGAGCAACACCTAGCAAAGTCAATTGCAAGAGAAGGTACAAGTATTTATTTCAATAATTTGAAGAAAATTTATCAGCGGTCGGTGAACCGCATTAAATAATAAAAAATGCTTGGTTCATAGCAAATTTGAATACTTTCTAAAGAAAATTAATCAAAAACCTCTTGAGGCTAATCAATTTTTGAATTCTTTCATTATGTTGAAAATATTTCCTGCAGGAATATTTTACCTTGACAACGTGGGCAGGTATTGATTTAATATGTTCCAGCTACATTTTTCAAGGAATCAAATTAGAAACTCATCCTTTGCTATGATTTGAGCACGTTGTATCCCATCAAAGGTTCTCAATGTTCAACTTTTTGCTTACGTTGATAATTAACATTACTTCCATAAATAACTTTCTTTGTGGCACGGCTGCGTTGCTAAGCTTCTGACGTCATTGGGATTTTGCTGGAGAAAACTCAAGCCGCAAGCTGCATGTTGGCAAACACTCATACACTCTCCGCTCCCTAATGATGATCCCTAAAGTCAACTTGCTAAAGTAACACGAGCTCCAACATGCACACACACAAGCACACACACACACACCCGCATTGAGACTCATAAGCACACAGTGGTATTAACGCCATAATTCGTAAGTTACACACACACAGGCGCCGCAGAAAGGATTAAGTTATATTAAAGTGGTGAGCGCTGCATTTTAAGTTCGGCTCCTTTGTCGCTGGCAAAATGCAGGAAGCCATGCGGCTGAGGCCAAGGAATTCGCACTCACGATCTTGAGTGGAAAAGGACTCGGCCGGCCGAAAAGTTCGCTATGCAAATTTCAGCTGACCCACATTTAAATAATATTAATATTCGGAGCTCCGAGCCCATTATAAATGCAATATATGGCATAAGTTTACGCATTGCAATCCCCGCCCTCGAAAATACCCCCTGGCTTGTATAAATTTGCAATATTTTTATATAGTTGCAGTCGCTGGAATTTTTTCCAGCCAGTTACAGGTCAAGTGTTAATTTTTATTCCTCTATTTTATTTCATTTTTATTATTCTTGTCCTTGCCTTTACATGTGCGCACATTTATGTGAAAAGTTTGCACACAAGTTTAATTTAAAAAGCGCATTTGCACTGACTTTGACCGTGCTGCTAAAAACAATATAGAAAAAAACGAAAGTGGCACAAAGCCGTCAACTATGAACTGAAAAGTTCGAGGATGGGAGACTGAAAATTAAATCAAATAAATAGTCTTTCCTTTGCCTTTAGTTTTGCGCATTTAAATCAATTTACGCTCCGCTTTGTCTTCTCCGCTTTAATTAATTGCCAGCTAACAGCTTGGCGTTTAATTGTTTTGGCTTTCATGGCACTGGGAGTAAGGAAATGCAAAGAAAATATTTTCATCAGTGGATAAATTCAGGACATTACCCTAACTCACTGCGCTTTCTGAATGGAATCAGAGGCGAGTACCATGTCTGATTAAATTAGATCTGTGGCTGCAGATGCCAGTGAGCACTTGGCGAATTTAATTCTCCACCTGTCTTGTGATATCCAAGTTGCTTCTTAACACTTTGCCGAAATATTGTTTACGACCCCATCGTGCCTAATAAAACTTATATGTCTGGGAGTCATAAAACCCACACAGCAGAACAATTTCAGACCAAATGGCATACGATTTTTAGGCCAGACCGTTCGGAATTTGCGAGGGCGCATGGAAACGGAGCAGCCAACTTGTTGAAGTGTTTATTGTTTAGAATCCCGCGGCGTCGGCATCAGAATACATAAAACATTTTTTCGTTTTAAATAAAAGATACGCATATGAGAGTCTTGGAGGACGAGTAAGTAACCTCTTCAATTTTTGCCAGTCTTGGGTGGATGGCAACGAATTGGATACGCATCTCAAGTCTGAAGGAGGTATTCCAGACGGTTGTTGTGGGGTTAGGACTTGAGATGGGTAACTGCGCTCAGTTATTGCAAAATAAGGTATGTGCGTCAAGAATCGATTCAAAATATATAAGACGCTTATTAAATTAAAGTCTGAAAAAACCTGGAGAAATTAAATAAGCCATCAATGATGAGTGATAAATAAAATATGGTTTTTAAAAATTTGCAATCGGCTCTAAAACTAAATTAAGAGTCCAAATTTTTTCATTTTTAATAAATGTGGGGGAGTTGCAACATGACTTTCAAGTACTTTGAAGTCAACCCAACTTTTTGTAACCATTTTTTTTTATTGTTGAGTATTATTGATCTATTTGCTTGTTTAATGGTGAGGCTTGTACCCAATTATCCAATTGAGTTTTAAGTAGGTATGTTGGGTTGTAGGTTTATGAAAAATCAGGCTAAAATAAATAAGAAATCTGCGCTTCAGGTGTCAGAACCTGTTAAAATCAATCCCATCAAGATTTTTCCAGTTCACCCAGCACACCTATACATCAATTCGCAATGCAGGGTAGCAGCATTCTGGGCCGGAGCACCCTCCGGCGAACTTCGAGGCAGACCCGGCGGAGGCGTTCAACCGTAGGGCCAATAGAGGGCAGCAGGAGCTTGATCTCCGAGGTGCCGAGTACTGAGCGACCGAAGGAGCAGAAGTCCTTCCAGCAGAGGGTGTTCCTCTACATCCAGCTGAACGAGTTGACCAAGCTGCCGAAGACGGACAATCCTCTGGAGCTGCACCTGTACCATCCGAAGAACACGCTGCAGAAGATGCAGGAGCGCTACACCACGGAGACCATCATCTATCAGCACGAGTTCAACCTGAAGAAACCGGTCTTCGCGTTGGGTGTGATGCAGGACGATATCGAGGACATGAACACGTTCAGCGACCAGCCACTGCTGATTTCCCTCTACCAAAGGATTCCCCGACGTCGCAAAGGAGCCAAGACAAAGTCCCGAGGAGCCACTTCGCAGGAAGTCAGTCAAGTGAATACAGAGCCTTCAGAAAATGGTGAAGGTGTCCAGAAGAAAACCAAGAGATCCAGTAAGAGGGGATCCGAGCAGTTCAGCGAGGAAGGAGCGGAGGAGGGTGAGGGTGGTACCTTTTCGGAGGAACGGCTGGAACTTCTATCCCGCGGCCACTGCGATCTGCTGCAGTTGTTCCAAAAACGCCGCTTTATAAGCGACATCACTATCTTCCTGTATCCGGAGTACCAGACCAGTTCGCAGGCAGAGTTGAATGACAAGATTACCTCGTGCAGCGTCTGGCACATGTACTCCATCTTGCCCATCCTGAAGAACTTTAACTTCACCAATTTGGCCTTTTTGACCCTGGAATCGATTTACAATGCTCCCGAGGAACTGCACGGCCAATGCTCTGATCTGGGACTCAGTGTTTCCTTCTGTGCAAAGCAACCGGAGGGCGAGGATGGCAGCTTCAAGGTGATTCCCCTGTGCACATACTCCGGATTTGTCTCGCAGATCATCAGCGACCAGAACACCAGCATCGGGTGGGAGAACATCAAGCGGGATCTGAGCAGCAACATGCAGTACACCTTCAACCAGATGGAGACCAACTCCAGAGTGAAGCTACCACGCCTGTTTCGCATGTTGCTCTGGGAACAGGACGTGGACTTCCAGATCCTAAAGATCGATCCCGTGACCGACCTGGCCCTGATCAACAACTCCATGCATCGCTTCGTGCTCAACGAGGAGATGCGGAAGATCCTCGAGGCGGCGGTCGTCCACAACGACTACGACTTGCTGCTGCAACTGTACCAGGATACACCCAGCAATGTCCTGTACGAGGGCGTCCTCAATCCCAGCATCTTTGGGTATCCGGGAGGTAAGAGTGTAGGGTTATTAAACATCACTTTGCAATTAATTTTTTAACCTCCAGTCAACTACTGCCGCTTTGCCATCCAGTTGAAACCGGTGCTGGAACCCAAAGTCAAACTAAGCATTCCAAGGGAAACAATGCTAATGGGCCCAATGTTCTGCACCTTCAAGATTTGCTTCTTTCAGCCAATTTGCGAGCGCAACGAACCTCTCGACAAGTTCAACGAGAGTATCCTTAAAAGGTTAAAGCTGCGACGGTGCTTCGACATGGAATTCCTTAAGGAGGACGAGGACGATGTGGATGTGTTGCTAGAGCTGTACCGTGCCTTCGATGATCTCATTTCCGATACAATCGGGTTCATAATCAAGCGGGGTGTGAAGGACATCAAAGAAAGAAAGGAGTTCTTCTGCTGCCAACTGGGCAACCTTTGCAATCTATTGTTGAAAATCTGCGGTTGCGATTTCAACGTGCGAATTCCGACGAAAACGAACATTGAGTTCAGAGTGGGTGTTTAGTACCTCGAGCGCGTGTTTCATTTCAATTATTTATTTAATTTGCATATTCAGGAGATGCTGACACACATGTACAGGGAGCTGATGGATCGCATTGAGGGCATCTTCGCTGGCTGCAGCTGGACAAACAGCTGCGACTGTGCCACGTACCAGGAGTACGGGGAGCACGGCTTGACCCGGCTGATGAACGAAATGCGACTGGCCAGCAACACAGGCCAGCGGGACTTGGCCATCCACATGTACGATGAGATCGACCACAGCACCGCCAACCGAATCATTTTCGACTTCGTAACACTGCTCAATAGCGTCGAAACCCTCCAGTTCGAGCAAGCTGCGAGGTATTTCATGAAACCTCGAACCAGGGACTGGAGCGGACATTACTTTACGTGAGTTTAAGTGGATATAAATGTTGTCAACATAAAAAGAATTCGTGTAGTGCGACACATAACGTGACGATAAATTATTTATTTGAATTGCTTATTGCTATTTGCCTCAAAAGTTACTAAGAAATTGAAATTAAATTACATCGCCAATGACAGAGGCAATATTATAAAAATATACAGACTTTCAGTAAACATCATCATTTAAATTTTAAGTGGCGCCATCTGTTATGGGCATATTTTTTTAAATTTTGTTTAACTGATTAACGAGTATTTGATAGTAGTGGCCTCGACTATAGCGTTCCTCTTTCTTTAGATTATTTTTTTTAACACCCAAGAGTATTACAAAAATGTAAGTTATTTAATTTTTTTCTTTAATAGCACAGATTGCTTCTACAGCTCTATATCAACTACATGATGGATCTGAGATCAGCAGATGAAGAGGTATTGAGCACGGCGAAAACGAATATGATAGAAAGTCTGCGCCAGTTCGCCCATCAAAACAATCTGGAATCGGAAACATGGATTCTGTTGTACTGCTATTACAAGCAAGTAGATTATTTGCCAGGAATGGAGTTCACGCGGTGGAAGTTTCAGAATCTCCTTGAAGTTTCCTCCAAGACTCTGGCTTTCACTCCATGCTCCCTTTACGAACTTTATCTCCCGGTGGACTTTGAATTCAAGAGTTCTTGCAACGCGATGAATATCCAGTTCTACGCTGTTTTTAAGCTTTTTGCTCGGCTGGGAGCATATGCCTTTGCAGAGGTTGTATTTTCCGACATAGAACATTGCTTTACAGAAGCCGAAGTCTATCTTATAAAGACCACTTTAAAGATACTTCAGCGGCAGATTGACAATAAATTTAGGGTTATTATGATGCCGACGGATAACAGTGTGCCAGGGAAGTTAAAGGTAAGATTTGTATTCCTTTCCAAGGCAATTTATTTAATTAAATAATTTAATGTAGCGCTGTTACCAACTGCATATCAATGGCAGTGCGGAATATTCCCGAGGACGCTGCCAAGAAGCCATGAAATACTTTCAGGAATTGTTGCTAATGACGGATCCTAATGATAAAGCGTTGTTCAAGTTGAGTTTCCTGCGCCTCGGTCATTTGGCTTTTAAAATGGAACAGTATGAGCTGTCTGAAAAGGCCTTCGATTTCTGTGTGCCTTCTAGTTATAAACGCAAGAACTTTTCGGCCAACTTTGGAAAGGGATTGGCACTTTACCATGTGAGCTTCGATCAAACAAATTCAGTTTAGTTTTATTTTACATATATTCCATAGCTTAATCGTCTTGAAGAAGCAATTCCCTTTCTCTCTCGTTGCACTGAAGTCGACCTCTTTATTCCCGATGTCTGGGGATATTTGGCCACCATCAACCTACGATTGAACCGAAATAAAACTGCCTTGGAGTGCTGGAAAATGGCCAAAATGGTTGGTATTAATATTTGACCACCCAATTGACTATTTCTATACCGTCTTTTAAAGTACCCAGAGCTTAAAATCAGCAAGAACGTATATACCGAACTGGAAAAGATTCGGTACTCAGATGTTCATCTGCTGGTAGATGACGATGGAAATCCAGCTGAAACGATGTCGAAAATGGACTTCATTGCTCTGTAATTAAGCCGAACTTAAAGTAACCTAAGAAAATAGGTAAAGTGGTCCTAAGTCCTAAGTCCTAAGCAAACACATTCGGAGTCACGCCTTTCATCAAGTTTTGGCAACATTAATCAGATAAATTTAGTGCCCTACATTTGGGCTAAATTAAGTATACGCATACGCATATGTTAGCAAGGTATTTCGGTCCCTCGATGTCCTTCGCCTGCCTCGTCGAGCTGGCGCTTGTCAAAATTTTAGCCGCAGAGCGACGGCACCAACGTGAATATGCCAACACAATGCATTTTTGGCCAAGGGCAAACCGCCACAGCAATAGCAAAAACAAAGCCAACAGCAGCAACAACGACAAAACAGAAACAAGTGAGATACGTAGTTAAACCCTTTTGGCCAACACTCAACCCATGACAGGTGTTTGCTCTGCAAAACGTTTCAGGGGCATACGGAATTTAGGAAGTCGCCTGCCTTACGTGAACGACTTTTTGAACCTTTACATTCCACAATTTTGTATTCGACTGGTTTACTTTACCCAAATATTAAATATATTTTTTTCAGTTCTTAAGGTCCGCACTTTTAATAACTGTGGGAAATACTTTTAATTTATTAACTCTATGTTAAATAAAGCTTTTGATGATGATGTCGTGGTGTTGTGAATATATATATATATATATATATATATATGTAATAAAAAGTATTTAACAGAAATATATATATTACTCTAGGAAGCCGCATAAATTAGCTTTCCTTAATTTAATTTGACAATATTTTCAGGTTGGTTATATCAGATTATGATGATTTAGTTTTAAAATATTTAGTTTTTAATTACGAAAGAGCTTGAAATTGTATGTAATTCAAGTTTCTACCCTCTCATTTCTTGATGGCAGATGTAATTAGAATTATGGAAGTTCGACTGTCCAACTCAAGTGTATTAGGGCATCCCTGATTCGTTGTCCTGACCATTCTGGCCTTCTGTTGTTGTTTACCTGGCAGCGAGTGCTCCAAAATCCGCTTTGACAGCTCGCCTGTCAGCTCAACTCAAACCCAGCCGGGAGGGTGTTTGGGTGTTGGGGTGTTGCATTGGGGGATGTTGTACACTTTTTTGCTTGTCTTGTTTGGGCCAGACCCTCAACTACATATGCTAATGACGAGGCAGTCGGGTGGTGTAGTAGGGGAGGGGAAGGGGAAGGGGAAAGGGGCAGCCACTCAGCTCGGGCTTTTGAGCTAGTTTAAGGACAACAACTCTCGGCTGCTGAGCACACACATTGGTACACACTGGGACCCACACATTGGCTTCATCAAAATGAAATTTGTGAGCAAACACATAAAGTGAATCAAGTAAGCAAGCCAGGTAACCGGGACACATGCTGCTAATGTTTTAAGACGGCTTTAAAATGCGTTTTAGTACACGCCACATTCGCTTCTCTGCAACTCTGCTCCTACTGTTCCATCAACATCACGCATACGACGCGTGGGCCCTGGCGAAAGGCTGCTTTTGTCGCCCAATGCAACAAAATCAATTAGACACATGCATTAACATACTCCGATTGCAGATGCGATGCCATTGCCATGCTGGATACCTCCACTCCCCGGCGAAACAACAATTGCAATTTAATGTGCTGCCTGCGCCTGCTAATGATAATGTTGTTATGTGCCTATTATGGCTGTTGTTTGTGGGGTCCTGTTTCGGGCCTGGCTGGGAACACATGTCATTAGCATTTGCATTATGCGAACTTTGCTGTCTGACAGCACTCAAAGTGATGCAGTTAGGCGCTTGCACCCGTGGGCATCCGCCCGAAAACACCAAATGAAATTAAAGCTCAACCCAAATGAGACCGAAATTGATTGGTAAAACAGGAAACCGATAGCGTAGTTGTCATGCTCCGAATATTCCTCCATACTGACTATTTCGCTTTGAACAATACCCTTTTCAACAAATCTTAGACAGTTCCTTAGTACAAATAAAATTTGATATATTCTCGACTCAAAGTTACTGAAACTATTAATTAGAAAATTCGAAAATAAAGTCATGGTAGTGTAAAATACATATTTCTCATATTGCACAGGCCGTTTTAATTGATTTTGATTGTATGACAGTGTTAAGTATCAAAACTCAATGTAGACAAGTATTGTGTATGCCAAACAAAGCAGGAACAAGAAAATATATGCCTATTTTATACTAAACATTGCATTTATGCTACCATTAAGCAAGTTGGCCAAAACAGAATATTAAACGCCGCACATGACTACCCTTCATGGCGCACTTGCTCGAAATATTAATCCGTATGAATTTCATATGCCAAAATTCCGAAACAAGGCCGAGTGCCAAGCCCGGTTCAACCTTGAGGATATGGCAGGATAAAACGTGTGGAAGCTTGAAGCAATTTCTAATCAAAATATGCGATGGACAGGCTAATATGCAAATACCATGTAAGCAGCTCAGACGCAAAGCAGCTCAACTTAATACCGAAATAGCTCAGCCACCGCACATATCTTCAGGTACGGCTAATAACACAACCGCAGAGCAAAATGCTAAAAAAAAAAAGTGGAGAAAAAACGGTTGGTAAAACTACAACAGCTGCGTATCCTGCTGAGAAGTATGCAAAGATTTCGCCTGGAATTAAGTTGGCAAAGAGCTAACGTGAAATTTACACCAGAATGGTTACACAACGATGGTGTGGGGAAGGGGGGTACGGGGATGTTTGCTGGGGTGTGACATGAAAATTTCATTTGAAATTGAATATGAAAAAATTGGAAGCCTCGTGTGCGCCGTCTGTGCGACAGCTGCTGCAATTGACAATTATTATTATTGTCAGTGCGAATGAAAGGCGTGGATGGAGAGTGGATGGGGGGCGGGGGGCGTGGTTGGTATTCATATGACACCCGTATAGCTCATAACCAAGCGCCCAAAATGCCTCGACATCCGTCGGCTTCAATAAAATTCAATGGTCGCATTAAAATCATTTAAATTCTATTGTTTTGTTTGCTTTTTTCTTGGCTCTCCGGATTTCCATGTATTTCTTTACGACTGTCAACCGCACACGCAACCCATGCCCACGGAAGGATTCACATTCAGCAGGAGTATGGATTATGGAGTTTGGAGTATGGCGCACACGGCGAATGCCGCATAAGCTGTTTTCGTTGCGGATTTAGGCGATATCAGCAAATGCATATTTAATGGGCTTGCGATCAATATGATGTGGGGTGTGGCGCCACCACGACTCGCATTCGCGCTGCCGATTAATGCAATTTAAGGCGGGCAAAGGATTAGGTTTGCGAAATTGTTTAAAGCGGCCTGTGGCTATTTTATATTGATAACCAAAGTCCGGGGGCAGCGATATAAATTTATATTTATGATTAATTCGAGCGAACGTAAAACATTTATCCAAAACTAATGACTTAGCTTTTATTTGAGTTTTTAATGTCTTATGGTTTTATGTGTTAAAAGAGCGACAAAAAATAACTTTATCTAAATGGGGCTAAGTTTTTTACGATATTATATCTGAAACGTCGTTTAAAGGCTTTAAGTCCCTGTTCGCAACACCTGAGCTTGTAAATTACCAATAACTCAGATTGTAGCTCATGTATAAAGTCTTTATTTTAAATGTTGTTAAAAAAATAATCACAACTAGTTATTTAATATTTAAAACTGTGATCAGAAATTCAGGAAATTATTTTATAAAACACGTTTCATATATTTGGTAAGTAAAACTATGCTTTTAAGTTAATATCTGTGTTTTATAAATAGTGTTTTTAAAAATTGTTAAAGAACACAATAATAAAGATGATATACTAGGAAATATTAAAGGCAAATTCCCTTCCATTTGTAATTTCCTTAAGGCTGATGATTTTGTGTTACACTCTTTTGATTAAACGGATAACTCTTGATAAAATCCCCGAAATCGCAAAACGAACTCTTTGGCGTCACTTAAAAATCATAACTGCCAAAGTGGAGTGGCACCTCACGGCATCTGTTGCTGCCCTCTTTTTTGCCCCACAAACATCTCAGGTGCGAATCCGTTGGTAACCCCTTCTCCCCCACCCTTTGGTCCTTTAACCTCCAACGTTTGCAAATTCTCAACTTCCAAAAAAAACGGGGGACGAAACACGGTGAGTGCGCACAGCAAACGCGAAATGCGAGAAGGGGTAAGGGTTTTGCCCAGAATCTGTCTTGTTTGCATAAAGCCAGGCAGTCAAGTCGCGCACACACATATTGCTTGAGAATAAAAAAATAAGTCAGCGGTTTTCATTTTACAATTTGATAGCCGAATAAGAGTTTTCTGCTGACAGGAGTCGGAGCAAGGAATCGTTCGAGCATTCGCTCTGGCAAAGGATTTCCACTTTGTTTGTTGATTTGCGTAAGTAAAGTTCGAGGGGCGTTGCCCAACCCTAAATCCTTTTCCGAGCATCTTTATGGCCAAGTTGTTTTCACATTTGTCGCATTTATAAATTATTTAAAGTGGCAAAGCGCCAGCTCAGCTTGGCTTGATGAATGTGTGCACTGACCATCATTGACCCCGTGACCCCAAAAGCAAATACACATACAAATGTGCCAGTGCTCCAAGTACACAAAAAGAAATTAGCTATTATGGAACTTAAATTCAAAACTTACGTAAACAAATGAATTTAATAGGCAAATGCTAAACATTTATATCATGATTAATACACAGACTATTGGTGCCTGTATGTTAATGTTTATATTAGTACAGAAATGATTTTGTGTTTGTCTAAAATGATTTAAAATTTAAATATTGATTTAAGAACCCAGGAGGTCCCTAAATTGAGCGCAGTTCCATGGAAAATTATAAATCAAAATGTTATGGTAAATTAGAATGTATAGTTGTTATATATCATTTAATTTTGTTTAATAATTCTATTAACATATCAAAACAAAAATAATAATTAAGTCTCACTATTGGAAAGACTCTGCCAATAGTATTTGGCTTTAAGTTTTAATAGCCATAAAATGGTAAGTAAATAAAAAAATAATAGTTTATTTAAAATGGTTTGTTAACTCACGAACAAGGGTTTCATCATTTTCATTCTAATAAAATATACAAAAAATTGTTTTGAAGGAAGTATTTTGGAATTGTCTCAAATTAAACAGTGTAATTAAAACAGTCGCAATGAAAGGCATTAATGAGAAAAATGATTTTTTCGGTGCACGCACTGGCAGATGGACCAGTGACATGAGAGACCATAAACAGTGGCTAAACAAGGTGCTTAAATTATGCCACAAGATCTGAAAACCGGCTGTAAATAACAAGCCGGACCAGCAGACCCTCACCCCACCCACTTCCGCCCCCTATAACCACCCCCTCCCCTCCCCACCATTAAGGACATGCATTCATATTTATGGCTGTCTATCTGTGGCTCGTCCTGCGCCCGCTCGCCCACAGCTCCGCTGACAAGGCCATGCGTCGCCTGCCACAAACTGTAGCCACTGCCGCCGCATCAGGACTCGCCCCTCCACCCCCCCCCCCTCTCCCCAGCCACTGCCCAACTGCCGGCGCTCCTGGCTTGTTGCTAGTTGTTGGTCTCATGGCTGGATGACTTTGGTTTCGA